TTGCGGAGGTCCGTCGTGAGGTTGAAGGCCTCCTGGAAGAGATCCCCTCCGCCGACCTGGTCGGCCGTGGCGTCCTCATCGTGCTCCCTGGGCTCTTGGTCCTCAGGGATGACTTTGCTGACGAGGTTGCGGTTTGACTTAGTTCTCCCCATGATCAGTGGTTAGCTGTGCTTAGTAGCGACGAAGGGTGCTAACTTGATTGTTCTAGCTCTCAACGAGGGCACCAAATGATAGAGTATATCTAGAGAGAAGTGAGAGCTAGAGAGAGAAGTGCAGTAATATGCTTCAATAGAATGAATTTGTAACCCCCTACAACTACTCCCAAGGGGAGTATTTATAGAGAAAATACGGGCTGGGCTCCCAAGCCTTGGGCTTGGGAGGCCCATTTACAACTGGACCGCTACTGGGCCGAATACAAAGCCACTAGTGGGCTGTACAAATGAGTAAGTGTAAAATCCGGTTCTGGGAGGTCTTCGTGGCCGACGAGGGCGTGGCCGACGAGGGCACGGCCGATGAGGGCACGGCCGACGAGGGCACCCGGGTTCCTTGGGCTCAGGACCATAATCCGAGTTGGCCCCTTTTCGGCCGACGGGGGCGTCTCTGCCGACGAGGGCGCCACCCTGTGCCTTGTGCTTTCTATTCTTCCGAGTATGTGGGTCCGGGGGCTCAGACCCATATACTCCATCAGACGACGAGAAAAATTACACATTACAAGGCAGAGAACTTACTTGGACGAGGAGGTCCATGCCGCCCTCGTACACCTTCACGTCCCCGAGCTTCTTAAGGTAAGCCCGATCTTTGGCCGGCATGGCCTGGGCCAGCACATCGTGGCCGAAGACGGCATCGTCAAACACACCTCCGCCGACGGGGTATTCCACCACCTTCTGGTAGGTGGCAGCGGCGATCTCCTCGCCAGCCCTCTTCGTCCGTGGCTCCTGGACGATAGGGAGCGATTGGGCGGCATCGCTTGGAGCAGCAGTAAGGTCCACGAGGGGACCACTATCATCCACGCTCGGGACAGTCAGAGTACCGGCCTCGGTAGCAGGGGAAGGAGACGGTGCCCTCTTCGTCTTCTTGGCGACGTTGAGGCCGGCCTCAGTCAATTTTTTCTGGCTGTCAGTGGCCGGCCTCTTCTTCTTCGACTGGGCAGGCTTTGGGGCCGCACCAGCAGTAGCCCCGCTTCCCTCGGCCGCGGCACGTCTGGCCGCCTCGGCCGCCTTAGCAGCCAACTCCTCGGCCGCTTTGGCCTTAGCAATGGCCATGATGGAACGACGATCCATGACAAAATCTACAAAGGAAAAACAACAGATTAGCAAGGCAAAAGAACAAATCATAAAGGAAGAAAGCCGAAGAAATAATTACCATCGGCCTCAGCAGGAATGCCCAAATCCGGGCCGTCGGCCTCTTCGAAAGTGGTAGTCATCCTCGGCCAGAGTTGGAGATCATCCTCCTTATCACCATACACATGGTATCTCAAGAAGCCGAGGGCGGTCATCTTGTATTCAATGATATAATCCTTCACGCTCCTCGGCCCCCCTTCCAGGAAAGCCTCCACCTGAGCGTCCAAGATAGAGCTCTTCGGCGGGTCATGCAGATTGAACCTCCCGGTATGGCCGAGGGAGGGAAACTCGGTGCCACTCTCACCAAGGGATACAAAAACGAACTTGCTCTTCCACCCATGAATGGACGAAGGCAAGTCCGTGAAGCTCCTCTTCTTCGGCAGCTGTTGAAGAGTAGCATAGGCCGCGCAGTTCTTGTGGCTTCCTCGGCCGATCTGATACAAATTCATGAACAGGGCCGTCGTCGGCCTGTAGCCCAGCTCCTCACAACGGAGCAGAAACCCCACCATCAATGAATAGCTGTTCGGCGTCAGCAAGGCCGGAGGGAGCCCCACCATGTCAAGGTATTCGGTGATGAAGGGGTGAAGGGGAAACCTCAGCCCCTTGGCAAAATTCAGCGGGTATACTCCAAAGTATCCCGGTGGCGGAAGAAGAACATGGTCCGTCAGCCTGGGTGCCCTAACCCGCCCGAACGGCCCCACGTACATCTGGGCAACAAGGTAGTCGGCCGCGCTGCTCTCTGGCTTAATCAGGAAGATGTTTGTGAGATCCAGGTAGGAGATGCCCGGTCCACTCTTCGGCCTCCTCACTCTCTTCGGCTTATCTGCTCCCTTCACGGTAGACACCGGCCTCGGGAAGGGAATGACAGCGGAAGTGGACGCCCGTCCACCACTCGGGACGCACCTGCGTCCTCACCTTTTGAAGACGATGCGGACTCCTCGTCCTCGACTTCGTCGTCCACCCGCTCTTCGGATTTGTAGGGACTTAAGTGTTGTATCTCCTCCTCGAACTCCTCGAGCACCTCATAGTCGAGTGATCTAGTGGAGGGTTGGTCGTCGTACGGATAGTAGTCTTCATTCAAGCTCTTCACCATAACTACTACTACGAGCCTAAGGAGAATTAACTTAGGATCTAAAGGTGTTCAAACGCCTAACACTAGATCACTAGCCTAGGAAGCAAAGTATGAAAAGTGTAGAAGATTGCGATGAACACTAACCTTGAACACGAAGAACACGAAGAACAAGCTTGGGAGTATCTCTCTAGAAAATTGGCCAGCACTTCGACAATTCAGAATGCAAATGAGATTTTTGGTCGGAGGGGGAGGGGTATTTATAGAACCCCCCACCCAACGGTCACTACACGTGGCACCCTCCCAATGGCCACATCAACGGCCACCAATGGGAGGCCACCACGTCACCAACGGGCCAAGCTACATGTCAACAGCCCACTGGCAAAACAGACTCTACGGCCTATGCACTTGCCGGCTTCACGAGTGCCAGCTAGCGCCCACAACGTCCTATTGGCTTGCCAGGTTCACAAACGCCAACAATAAGGAGACGACAACGGCCAGGAACGTAATGAACGCCCATAACGGCCATAGAACCAAAGGAACCAAGGACCCACAGCCATCGGCTCCTCGTAACGACCCTTGATGATAACTCTTTACAAGCGATCTGCGCACAAGGGTTCTCCCACAGGGTTACCTTGGCCAGAAAATCGCCATGAGGGTTGGATTCAGGGGCACTGCGGGGAGGCCGCTTCGGCCAGGGACTCAGACAACTCCTTCACCCCTCACACTCTTCGGCCTGAAGTAGTGGGGGACTGGGGGACTACACCGGCCTCAACAAAACAAAAAGGAACAATACAAAGAACATGACTATAACCAACAAAGCATGGTCACATCGGCCATGTATCACACTGCGCTTCGTCGACCAAAGGCACACAACGTCATCAACAACGGCCAACTGGCCACCTAAGGCAAGGACACTCATCGTCCTCCGCCAACAGTTAATCATGATGGGCTCTTCGGCCAAGAACACGAAGGCCAATCAGCGACGGCCAAAAGGAGTGCGCAAACACCCTCATCGGCCACCCAAAGGAAAGGACGCCATCGTCCTCAAAGCAAGGTTCAACCTCAGTGGCCTCATCGGCCCAAACATAAACTTCAACCATCAACGTCCAGGAAAGGGAAAGCGTGCCTTCAACGGCCAAGGCACAGAACAGGATCACCAAAATGGAAACAACACCAACGCAGCAATAGCTGACGGCCTGGGAATGCCCGCATCGGCCAAAAGCACTAAAGCACGGGAATCTACTCTCCTTCACTTCGTCTACGTCTCAGTTTAGAGAGTGGGTGACTCCTGATGGAGTATATGGGTCTGAGCCCCCGGACCCACATACTCGGAAGAACAGAAAGCACAAGACACAGAGTGGCGCCCTCATCGGCCAAGACGCCCCCGTCGGCCGAAAAGGTGCCAACTCAGATTATGGTCCTGAAGCCAAGGAACCCGGGTGCCCTCGTCGGCCGCGCCCTCGTCGGTCGTGCCCTCGTCGGCCACGCCTTCGTCGGCCACGAAGACTCCACAGAACCGGATTCTACACTTACTTATTTGTACAGCCCATTAGTGGCTTTGTATTCGGCCCAGTAGCGGTCCAGTTGTAAATGGGCCTCCCAAGCCCAAGGTTTGGGAGCCCAGCCCGTATTTTCTCTATAAATACTCCCCTTGGGAGTAGTTATAGGGGTTACAAAATCATTCTATTGAAGCATATTATTGCACTTCTCTCTCTAGCTCTCACTTCTCTCTAGATATACTCTATCACTAACAGTTCCCGAAATTTTAATTTTGAATCTATTAAAAAGTGTTTCAAAGACTATATAAACTTCTAAATTATTATCCCTAATTCTTTATGTCAAATGCATCAAATTTTCTTTATTTGACATTTTTTGTAGACAGAGACTCTTGCTCAATAGAGCATCATGTGACATATTCATTTAATTAATTATATTAATTTTACTTAGATTTTGAGATTTGTTAAGTTTTAGATTGTTTTCTTAAACATATATGTATAATGACTAGTCTAATTTGTTATTACTTTGTAGTGTTATCTCTTTTTTTGTATGGTGATGACTAATTCTCTATATTTCAAAGTTTGATGTTATTGAATTTGTGTAGTTGTGTGCTGTTTTATTTATAGATATATTATTAGATATTTTGTTAACGAATTCCAAATTTTGTTTTATATTTTTATTTTGAAATTTTACTATATTACGTCGATATTGATACTTAATTAGTTTTAAAAAAATATTATCTACTAGATACTTTGTTAGTATAGGAGTTTTTTTACAAAAACATAAAACCGGTAATGCGGATCGAACTGTCTAATCTCAAATTATTTGAGTAAAGTCCAATTTCTATTTCGAGACTTGATATATCTGAACCAAACATAATCATTAAATAAAAATTGAAAATTTGACAATTATTTGAACTGATGAGGACCATATCAAATATCAACCGACAAATTTCTCGTGAGAAAATGGGGAATTGGGGATATCCGGTTACAAAGATGGAATCTCCAAATCTCTCCTACTCAGCAACAGCATATGCCTTATCCACTTCGTTCGTTTTTCCTTTTTCTTATCTGAGTTGTCAGTACTATACATATTAATGGGCCGTGGCGCCACTCCGCCGTACGCGAAATTAACATTTCGGGTTTCCACATCCCATATCCCCATTCCCCCCCAACAACCCTACCTCTGTTTCCTCTCTGGTTTTGCTTCTTCCATGGCTTACATTTTTCGTCTTCTCGCCCTCTACACCACTCTCATCACTTTCTTGGATGGCCTTTCTCTTGCTCAGAGACCCGTTTTCCCAAGGGCCATCATTCTTCCAGTCACCAAAGACTTGCCCACTTCACAGTATGTAACTCAACTTCCAATCGGTCATAGTAATATTCTTGATCCGCTGAAACTAGTTGTCGATCTCGGAGGGCCATTTATCTGGACCGATTCTGCCTCTTCATCTCAGGGTTCCATTCCTTGTGGATCGCTCAAGTGCTCCATGGCTAATCCGAATGGAGGATGCACCAGCAAAGAGATCTGTGGGCTTCTATTTGAAAATCCCATCTCGAAAATGGCTGGATCTGGGATTCTGAAAGAAGACACCATAGCTTTGGAGTTCATAACAGATGAGCCAAAGGCGTCTTCTTTTTTCTCTTATGTTCCTAATTTCTTGTTTTCCTCTGTACCGAGTTTGTTTTTGCAAGATCTGGGTAGTGGCGTGAATGGCGTTTTGGGCCTTGGGAATTCTAGGGTTTCTCTGACATCCCAGCTTGCAAACGCCTATGCTGGTATTCCCAGAAAGTTCGCTCTCTGTTTGTCCTCTTCTAATGGCGCCATAATCTCCGGTGACATTCTTCAACACAATGATGACGTGTCAAGGTCTATGGTGTATACCCCCTTGGTTTCCGGCCATAATGGTCTAGAGTACTACATCAATGTCAAATCAATCAAGATTAATGATAAAAGGTTGGGGCTGAATGGATCTTTGCTGTTCTTGGATGAAGAAGGTGAGGGAGGAGGGACAAAGATCAGCACAGTGGTGCCCTACACAACCATGAAGACCAAGATTTACCATGAGTTTCTTGAATCCTATTTAGAAGCTGCTGCTGCCTCCATGTTGACTAGGGTAGACTCAGTGGGGCCATTTGAGGTTTGTTTTAAGGATGTTGTTGGTTGGGATGCTCCAAAGGTTGAGTTTGTGTTGCAGAGTGAGATGGTGAAGTGGAGGATAATGAATGCAATGGTGAAGATGAGTAGTGATGATGGGGTGATGTGTTTGGGGATCTTGGATGGTGGGCAGGCTCAGATTGCTTCCATTGTGATTGGAGGATACCAATTGGAAGATAATTTGTTGGAGTTCAATTTGGGCACTTCTATGCTTGGGTTCACTCCTCTAATGCCAGAAACAACTTGTTCACACTTCTCAGGATTATTTAGAGATGGCAGAGACTCTGTTTGAATGCTGCCCATTTTCGAAAGAGATTAGCTATTTCTTAACTACGAGACTATTATTATGAATTGTAAGTAACAATCCACGCACTTGTGAATGTATGCATACATTATTTTTGTTGTAATTAGCAACAGAACTTTTTCTGGACTCTGATACCTATGTATGTCATTGTACTAATTATAACCTACTCTATCATTTCTAGTTTTTATATAATATGGAGTATGAAATATTATAAACCCAAATAGTACTCGTGCAATGCACAGATAAAATGATTTGCCTATTTATGTGTTACGTAGTAATATACTGCCTATATAAAACCAAAAGGGTAATAAAAATATGGAGAAGTGTTTGTGTTTTCTTAAAATTGAAACATGATCATTCACAATAATTATCATTAATGATAATGGACTCTTATGATGTTTTCTTTTGGACTGTTTCCAGTCTCAGACTTTCGTAGTTATAAAATACACAAATATCAGATATTTATCAAACAAGTTCAAATAAGACAAGACTAGATTAGACCAGATCACACCAACTCACATCTATATTCAAACAAAAATACAATCTTACATCTAAGGGAGCTAAAAGATCTTTATATACAGCTCCTTTTCATCTTATCTTTGCTAAAATCTTTACTTCCAACACTTGTTTCCCAAATTATTTACGGAGTATTATTTAATGTACACCAATTGTAATATGAATGTGATGCTACGGGGTACAATTCGTATTACCTTTCGAAGGAAATAATAACATTTTAAAAATTGAGATGGATAACAAAAACATGCATTTAAAGGACTTCCAACATTTGCAAAATAACATCATTTTTAAGCACTTGCCCAAATTGAGAAGCCAAGTAACTATAGTTGGGTATCAGCCCTGTTCCTTTAGGTGATTCCAATCTCTCACGGCTTTCTTTGCTACATATCATTTCGTAAAAGAAGACAAAAAATAATGATAGAAGTATTCTGCAGCCCATTGATTATCCATTCTTTCAGCACCAATATAGATAACTATTATTCATTTAGTAATGTTTATTCCGATTTTTATACAAAGTTTAACTATATATGGCCGCCTTTTAACACACCGGTACATCCAAATCTATCAATCGTATGTGTTAAGGAAAATAATCGTATGACGACACCATCAATATTTGAAGATATGGGAAACAAGCAAGAAGAAGATCCTAATCTAGTAGAGATCGAGAAAGGGGTTCATGAAGGTAAGTTCTCCGACTTCCAAATGGACGATAAAGGTGTACTTGAGTTCCGAGGGTGCTTGTGCATTCCAAATGTCGAGGAAAAGAAGAAGATTTTGAAGAAAGCTCATGGAACACACTTCGCAATGCACCCTGGTGTAACAAAGATGTACATAGACCTCAAACAAAGTTTTTGGTGGAAAGGGATGAAGAAAGATGTGGTGAGGTTCGTACAGTCATGTTTGATCTGTCAACAGATAAAGGTAGAACACCACAGGTCGGGGAGAAAATTGCAGTCTATTGAGATTCCAAAGTGAAAATGGGAGGATATTTCAATGGATTTCATTGTGGGTTTACCAAAGACCACGGGTGGTTACGATGGCATTTGAGTGATTGTAGATCGATTAACCAAATTGGCCCATTTTATTCCCATTGCAGTAACAATGAACGTAGAGAAGCTGGCTTGGTTGTATGTTCGTGAAATAGTCCGATTGCACGGGGTCTCCAAAACTATAATTTCCGATAGAGACTCCAAATTCACATCACACTTTTGGGAGTGTGTGCAATGGTCATTGGGAACAAGGTTGGAGTACAACACTACCTTTCATCCCACAGACAGATGGGCGGACCAAGAGGATTAATAGAATCCTTGAGGTCATGTTAAGGGCGTGTGTTTATTGACTTTCAAGGCAATTGGGTGAAATATTTAAGTTACAGAATTCACTTAAAACAATAGTTACCAGGATACTATTGACAAGGCTCCTTACGAAGCATTATATGGAAGGAGATGCAGGTGCCCTATCACATGGTTCGAGAGTAGGGAAAAGAAAGCTATGGAAGAACAACTAGAAGGCAGAACTAAAATTTTTATAAGGTGTGAGGGATTGTAACGACCGTACGTTTATTTGCCCCTTATGTGCTAAATTTAATTTATGTGAACATGTTATAACTTATGATTTTGAGTATTATATATGTAAAGTTTAGGGATATCATGTGATTATGTACTTTGTAATATTTGTGTTTGAACTTCCATACTTGTGATATGTTTGAACGTGACAAACGACAGTATCCGATGAGCAACAAAACTACACCATAATAATCATTTTATTTCGAAAGTAGCAATGTATTAAGTTAGTTGTCATGTTAGATAGTCTTCGGGTGTTTAAAATTTAGTTTAAAATGTCATCGGGGGTCTAGGGTGTGATCAACAATAATCGGGATCGATTTAGGATGGAAAATGACGTTTTTGGCATTGGGAATCCACAGACCAGTGCCGGTTCAAAACAAAACGTTGTATGGCAGTTTGGCAGGGGTAACCGGCGCCGATCAAGGTCAAACCAACGCCGATCCGGGTGGTTTAGGCCAATCGGTGGAAAACACATATTTAATGAAGAAACTCCCTTTTAACCCCAAAAGTCAACCCTGCTCATCATTCTCTGTAAACTAGCCTCAAAACCTTCTCCAATTGATTCAAGCTCAAAATTAAACATACTTTTCTCCAGAGATCATCAATCAGTAAGATTCCCACTTTACATGGAGTAATTCTTTCATACTTCGGTTTTAGTTCTTATTTTTGGGGATTTCTACAAGTAGGGTTAATTGTGGGTTGGTTATAAGTAGATACATAAAGTTCTTGATATTATAGTAATTGGTTAGTTGTGTTGATTCATGATTTGTGAATTTCAATCGGTTCTTGATTATCTAGCTGCCCCGAAGCTATGCCCGATTATTAGTTGTAGGAATTTGGGAGTTTTCTCACTTCAAGGGACTGATTTGTGAACTCTCCCTCATCTTTAAGTCTAAGGATTTCTCTAACAACATGAATTTAAGTTTGATCAAGTGTAAAATTGTGTATTAATAATTATAGTTCCTCATCGAAGAACCATTGCTCGTGGACGTCGGACACACACGCACAAGGGTAAATACTCCGCGTGAATCAGGTAAGTCATCACCATCTATACATGATAGTTCTAAATAAAGCATGGAAGTCTAGCCAATTATGATTTTGATATATATGCTTGAATACTTGAAATCGTATGGCATGAGACTATGTGAATACTAAGTTCCATGTATCTATTGACAATTGGTGTTAATTGTGGAGTTATTGATTTATCAAATGTAAGGTGTTCAAGTTTAGCATCTGTTCATATGAAAACAACAATGAAAAGGAGGTAATGATATGTAATATTCTAAGGTAGTCATGCCTCAAGTAACTACCGCGAGGAGTCCCAGGGTTACTTTTGACGGGCTGAAGGCTAACTACCCAAGTTCATTGGCGAGGGGCCTGGACACGAGCTATATATGGGCCCATAAATTTAAAGAACAAAATGAGAAGAAAGAATGATGAATAAGGAAACCTCTTGGAGTTTGATACTTGAACGCTTATGTGTTGTTTTGCGCATCTCATGTATGACTATAATACATGTGTGATGTATTCTGAGTGTGTATCTGTTTATGATTAGCTAAGATTCCTATATGTTTAGTGGATGAAATGGTGATTTACTAAGCATTATTGCTGACGAGAATTCTATTCTCTTGTATTCTCGTGTATAGGTAATAAACGAGGTACGAAGGCATGAGAGAATGTATGGAGCCGGTGACAAGATTTTGGATGGGTTAACGGAGAAAATCTGGTTGTCTGTTATATTTTTTTAGTACGTTGGTATTTCAAAGGGTTGTTAAATGTTTTGAAATCGTGATCAGGTGTAACAATTTTAAAGACGTATTCTTTTGGATACCTTTCATTATGGTTGTAAGGTTTGATTATGTTTATAGTAATAAAGTCTCCTCTCGAGGCTTGTATCTTTATGTATGCTTTATGTATCGAGTCTCTTTTGTGTTTTAGTCCCGTAATGGCCATTTCCCCGATGTATTTGGGAGTAGTATTCACAATTTTTCTGTGACTCAAAAAGTGCGACTGCTATCTCATGCAATCCATTTCACCTTTCTCACAATAAACACTTCGATCTTAGATTTCACTTCATCAAAGATCGTGTTGAGAAACGTCGTGTGGACATATACTTGTGTGCACCGCGGTATAAGTGGCTGATTTATTAAAAAAGAATCTGCACGATAAATGATTTCAATTCCTAGTTTCCAATTTAATGCTGATTTTTTATTATTATGCGCACAAGTGTAGATCATGTCAACCGTCTGGTTAAAGCTTTGTATGGACTCAAACAAGTCCTGAGAGCTTGGTATGAGGAATTATCTGATTTCCTGGTTGATTCTGGCTTCTCTAAAGGAGCAATTGATACTATTCTCTTCATTAAGCGTCATGGGTATGACATCATCCTGGTTCAGATCTACATTGACGATATCATATTTGGTTCCACTGATCCGGCCCTCTGTACTGCATTTGGAAGTCTGATGCAATCTAAGTTCAAAATGAGCATGATGGGTGAAATGAATTTCTTTCTTGGACTGCAAGTTAAACAGCTGCCTGACGGAATCTTTATTCATCAGTCCAAGTACATTCATGAGTTGATGAAGAAATATGGTCAAGAGAACAGCACCCCTGTGAAAACCCCAATGACTCCTACCTGCAAGCTTGATACTGATCCATTGGGAAAGTCTGTTAATGTTACCACTTATAGGGGAATGATTGGTTCTTTGATGTATCTGACCTCAAGACGACCTGATATTATGTTTGCCACTTTTCTTTGTGCTCGCTTTCAAGCAAATCCAAAGGAATCCCATCTGCTGGTTGTGAAACGAATTATGCGTTATCTGAAAGGAACTCCTAATCTTCGACTATGTATCCTAAGGAGACTGCATTTGATCTGATTGCATTTACTGACGCAGATTTCACTGGAAGTAAAATCGATAGAAAGAGTACTTCTGATAGTGCTCAATTTCTTGGAGAAAAGCTGGTTTGTTGGTCCTCAAAGATGCAAAATTGTGTGTCCACATCTATAGCGGAGGCTGAATATGTCACTGCTGTTAGTTCTTGTTCACAAGTACTATGGATGAGGACTCAACTACGTGACTTTGGTTCTACTTTGACCACATTCCGATTTACAGTGACTCAAAAAGTGTGTTTGCTATCTCATGCAACCTAGTTCATCATTCTCGCACTAAGCACATTGACCTGAGATTCCACTTCATCAAAGATCATATTGAAAAAGGTCATGTGGACCTATACTTTGTGTGCACTGAGCTTGAACTGGATGATCTATTCACAAAAGCTCTGGACGAGAAAAGATTTCAGTTCCTGATCTCTAAACTGGGAATGCTGAATTTGGAATTTTTGTGTCGTGTTTGTTTTATTTTTCATTAAGTCAGTTTCATGGTCTGTTTCCCTAAGATGTGCAAACATTGAAGGGGAGCAAAGTTAGTTTGTCTGGTCTGAGTGCTACAATTGAGGGGGAGTATTTTAATTTCTTTTTGTATCCAATTTTTTTTTTGTCTAAATAGAAAATCACAAAAGTTTTTATTTTAGTCTGTTTAGGATTTTTAGTCAGTTTAATTGAGTAAGTTTCCAAATTCAGAAAAATCCAAAAAGAGTTTTCATTTTTTCTTTTTCCGTGGGTACTTAAGTGAGAAACCGTTGATTCTTTTTCATCTTCTTCCTCTCTCTACACTCAAAATCTTTCTAGCAAAGTAGCACTCAAGGTTATCAAAGCTTTCGGTCATCTTCTTCGGCCATCATCTTAAAAGTATACTCAAAGGTTTAATTTCATTCTTTGATGATTTGAATGTGTGGGTGAGTGTGTTATTGTTGCAAGTACTCTCAAAACGACGCTGAGGATCGGACAACGACCAAAGAACACCCCTCACTGTCGTTCACCTTTCTCCATCACCAACCAACCAAGCTTTGCCGTAAACGGCCATCAAAAATCACTCACAAGAAGGAAACCATAGCCTAATACCTTCAACCTCCATAGCCGAAATCATCATCATAATTTCGGAAACCGCTTTACAGCTGAATTCCTAGTCCCGAGATATTCCCCCATCCGAAATTCCATTGACCCAAAATCTTTAGTCCAACAGAAGCCCGAATTCCAATCTACCGAGATCATTCTTAACGGGCTACCGAAATCCCCTACCGAAATCCTGTCTAAAACGGACATCCGAGATCCTGCCACTGAAATCTCAAAATAAGGGTTACCGAAATTGTTAACCGAAATCCTTAGCCGAGATCCCAAATACCCAAAAACCAGCCCCCAAGATCCCAACCCAAAATTTCATTACATAAATCCTAAAATCATTCACCCGACTTTCCACATCTGAATTCCTACCCAACTGAGATTCTTTGTACCAAAATCATCTTGTTTATCAGTCTAAGTGATCTCAATCCCAAGCCCAACTGACCTAGCCCAAACCATTTTTCTAATCACTAGTGTTTTTATATGTGCAATTCAGGCATAATGACTTTCATATCCGAGGAGGAAGTGTATCCAAAGGAGAACTGGGTTGAGATTAAGGACAACAACTATTTGCTGGACCCCACCATATTCAAATGTCAAGACAAAGTTATGATCTTCATACTCAAAAGGCATCCATTGTGGCAAGCACTCACTCTTTCGGTCAAAGCCCCGAAAATCTACCTGAGATCGCCGTGGGGAGCCATGAACACCACCAATGACCCCATTCCTACTCTCAAAGCCACCTTAGCCAACTCCACCATAATCATCACTATAGATACCTTCCACACCCACCTCCACTTACCCATACACTCTGAATACGACCCTTTCCCGACCATTGACACACTCTTCTCCGACATGCTAAAGATAGGACACCTTCCACCATTGACACTTGTTTCTCAATTTTACGACAATAAGTTGCCCAGGCCGTGGAGAACCCTTTTTTCCATTCTGAAAAAGTGTTTGTCCTCCAAGCAAGCAGGCTATAATCAATGCAACATGAACATTCTACACCTGGCCCACGGGGTGATGTGTGTTAAAAATTCGAGTTAAAAATTGTTGGGA